GAACCTCACAGAACCAGGCAGAGTGGTCCACACCTGTAATCCCAGCACTCCGGGAGTGCTGATTCAAGCGGGTAGAGACAGGGCTCCCAGGCTACAGGTGAGCAGCTCAGCCTCAGCCCTCTGGGGAGTTTGAGGCTAACCCCGGCTATCTGAAACTCTGTCCCCAAAAATGTAATCAATGAGATTGTGATAACAGTGGGCCGTGTGGACCGAGCGAGGTCCAGGATTATTGTTGATGAAGACTGTCAGGGGACAGTGTGCTACTTGGCGTCCCTGGTAACCAGAAAGGACAATGGTGTCGAGGGATGGGGGGATTGTTTACAACAGGCAAACGCAGCCGGGGAGGTGGAGCAGCTCAGGCGTCACCTTTTTCTATTTGATCTCACACATCAGCGGTTGGGAAGAAAGTGAACCTAAGGGTTCCCAACGCCTTCTCTGCTCATCTTTGATTCTGGGGCAGGCAGGCAGGAGCCCGTAGAAGCCCGCGTAGAGGTGGTGTGATGATGAACACCTTTAATCTCAGTGCTCGGGAGACCAGGTCGAGTAGCAGGCCAGCCTGGTTTACAAAGATGAATACCAGTGTAGACTATGGAGGCTGCAAACCCACCAGGCCCTCAGAAACCGGTCCAGGCAATGGGTGGGATTCGGCTGGTGTAAGCTCATGTACCGGGGCCAGCACGGACAGCCCCGGGGAGGGAAAGCCACCGCGTGGCACACTCACAGCGCACGGAGAGGGTCACCGGCAGCAGGTGCGGCTCCTCCAAGCTCTCGTGTTCCACTCTGCACGTGACCTTGACGCCATCCGCTCGACCCACCGGCACCAGGGAGTATCGGCTGGTGACGGTGACGGTGCCAGTCTGAGGCCCCGGCTCCTGAACATCTCTGGCCTCTCCACCGAGAGATGAGATCCAGGTGATGCGGGCAGGGGGGCGGCCTCCCGTGGACACACAGCGGGCAACAGGCATGGACTCGGGGCCAATCGTGACCTCCTGGGCTTCAGCATGATTCTCAGGTTGGGCTAGAGAGAGGACCAAAGAAGGTGGGTGACTCATGACTTGCACTCAACGAAGATGTGAGCAGCGGCTGTGGAGCACGGGGCCACACGGTCAGGCTCTGCTGCCCTGGGCAAGAGCCCAGATCTCTTGCCCAGCATGTGGGCAAGGCCATTTTAATAATTTTTCTTTAGTGTCAGAGTAATTAATCTAGGTTCCTTTCTACCCCATGGGTCTAATATATGGATCAAAGAACATACCCAGTGCTTAGCATATGTCTGGCACACATTATCCTAGCCTGTGTAAGATTTTATATATATGTATGTATGTATCTTTTGAAACTGGGTCTCACGTGTGGCCTTGGCTGACCTTGAACTCCCAGAGATCCACCTGCCTCGGCCGGGGTGCGCGGATTAATCAAAGGTGTGCACCACCAAGCCTGTGTAGGACATTTTACAATATCCGCGCTGCCCCATGAGAAAGATACACAGGCCAGGGATGGTAGCTCATGCCTGTGATCCCAACACTGGGGAGGCTGAGGCAGGAGGATGGTGAGTTTGAGGCTGGCTTAAGCGACATCACAGTCAGACTTTGAATCAACAATAAAGAAATAAGTGGGGTATGGTGAGTGGTGCTTGCCCACATTGGAGAGGCTAGAGGGTCAGACACACGAGGTTGGATTCAGCTACAGGCCAGCCTGGGCTACAATAGTATTTATCTCAAAAACTAAACAACATCAAAGGCACTAAAACTGGTAATTAAAATCAAAAGGAAAGACAGAGTGCAATGGCCTGGAAGAAAATGAAAATTTTACAGGTGAGGACACCCTGGTCTATAGAGCGAGTATGAGGACACAGGAGAGTCAATCCTGTCTCAAAAAGAACAACAACAAAAGAACAAAAAAGAAGGCCGGGCGTTGGTGGCGCACGCCTTTAATCCCAGCACTCGGGAGGCAGAGGCAGGCGGATCTCTGTGAGTTCGAGACCAGGCTGGTCTACAAGAGCGAGTTCCAGGATAGGCTCCAAAACCACAGAGAAACCCTGCCTAAAACAAACAAACAAACAAACAAACAAAACAAAAAAAAAAAAAAAGGAAAAGAGGAAGAAGAGAGTCTAAAGACTGATATGTGGCTCCGTGGCAAAGTTCCTGCCTAGAATCCCGCAGTAAGGGTCGGAGTGGGCTCAGTTAGAAGGGAAAAAACAAAGCGTCCTATTTCTTACCTACGATCACCATTGCATTTCCTAAACGGGTAAAGACAAATGAACAACAGGGATTCCCCAGTTGCTCTTCACTTTTGCCCTTTCAACTTACCCTCCCAGGGGGTAGCAAGGCACATTCCCCGGGTGTCTCTTAAGCAGTACTGTCCCTGGAGCCAGAGCTCATGGGTCTCCTGCATCCAAGTGGACCTGCCCACCTGAGCTGGCATCCCCTGAGCTATCGGTCCCCTCCCCTCTCCAGACCACCAAAGCGCACCTGTCCATCAAGGCCCTTGTGATCCATCAGTGGCCACAGGGGTGTTCTACACCCTCCAGACCTCATCCACAGACAGAGGCTAACTTCCTCAACAGGCCTTTTCTAGGCTCTGTGGCCCGCACATTACCAGCCTTTCCCCAAAGACAGAGGCTTCTCTTCCCACAATGCCTGTGGCCTGATTGATGTTCTAAAGATTGCCTGACCCCCCCCCCCCCATCTTTCAGTACTATTGATGGGATCTAGTGTTGGGAGTGCAGGCATGTGCCTTTATCCCTAGTTTCATGTGGTGCTGGGGATCTGGTCCAGGACTTTGTGTATTATAATAAAGCACTCTATCAGCTAAGCTCTTTTCCAGCCCTGCTTTTATTTTTTTTCTTGCATGACAGATACTGTTAACTGAGCCACGCCCCCAGCCCCTCACTGGGGGATTCTAGGCAGGGGCTCTACCACTGAGCCACGCCCCCAGCCCCTCACTGGGGGATTCTAGGCAGGGGCTCTACCACTGAGCCACGCCCCCAGCCCCTCACTGGGGGATTCTAGGCAGGGGCTCTACCACTGAGCCACGCCCCCAGCCCCTCACTGGGGGATTCTAGGCAGTTAATGACAGAGCTTCATTCCTTTCTTGAGACAGAGTTTCTCTGTGTAACCCTGGCTGTCATGGAACTCACAGTGAAATCCTGTTTCACCAAACAAAACACTGATTTTTGAGAACGGGTCTCAAGTTGCCCAAGCTGGCCTTCCACTCACTCTGTAGCATGCCTCAGGCCCCTGAGTTTATGAAATGACAGCCCTGCTTCCAGAGAACTGGCAAGAGTTACATTTTGAGCTATGGAAGCAGCTCCTTTGGTATCCCTTGGAACGGGAACCTTCTGTTCTGGAATGTACAGGGAGGTTTCCAGCTCTCTGGAGCCAGAAAAAGGGAGACAACCTGGGGTGACGTGGTGTCTGGAGGGTTGGATGGTGTGGCTTGCAGGAGATTTTCCAGTTCTAGTGAGAAATCTCTGCCACTGTGCCAACCGGCTGTGTCAGTCTCCTGCAGTTGAGGCCAGCGGACTGGGAGTCCTCTCCTTTATTTTTCTGTGTATGGGTGTTGCGTCTGCGTGTCACATGTTTGCAGTTTCCACAGAGGAGAAAAGAGGGTGACGGGTCCCCCGGAAGTGGAGTTATAGATTTTCCACTGTGCCATCTTCTCAGCCCCATGGGTGTCCTTTCTGGTCCCCCTTCCCCAGGGACAAAATTGCCTCTATTTTGCTACCTCCATCTCCTTCCTGCACTGCCTCACCTGGCGTGAAGCAAAGCGACCCTAAGGCTCCCTCCCTGCTTCCTGCCTCTCTATTCCCCCTACCCAGTCACATTTTTTGATTCAAACGATTTGTCCTGTGCCCTAGGCGACACTCAGGATGGCTCCTCACCAAGTCACAGCTCCGTGCTTGCTCAGAACCTCCATGGCTCATTCTCAGGACAAAAGGAGAGTGGAGTGTAATGGCCCATATACCCACAGTCCTGGCCCTGAGGCAACTGGGTTGCTTTGAATTTGAGGCCAGCCTGGGTTATATATTGAGCCCTGGTGCAAGCAAAAAAATAAAATAAAATAAATGCTGTTGTCTGCCATGTCCTTGGTAAACAGGATAAGCAAGTACCACTCAGTAGGTGACAAATAAGCATTTATCAACCGTAGGAGCCTTGGCACGCTCCTGTAATCCTAGCACTCGGGGAGATGGAAGCTAGAGGATTTAGAGTTGAAGCCAACCTGGGCTACATTTCTTAAAAGGAAGGAGATGGGCAGGGGAAGCACATGCCTTTAATGCCAGCACTCAGGAGACAGAGTCCAGCCTGGTCTACAGAGTGAGTTCCAGGGCAGTCAGCGCTACACAGAGAAAAACTGTCTCAAAACACCCCCCCCCAAAAAAAAGAGGAAGGAAAATAAAATTGGGACTAAGGTTGCAGCTCAGTTGGTAGAGGGCTTGCCTGGCACAGACAAAGTGCTGGTTCTGTCCTCAGCACCAAATGAACTGAGTTGGATGGCTCAAGTCCTTAATCCCAGTGCTCTGAGGTAGGGGTGGAGGCAAGAGGATCCAAATTTCCAGCTCATCCCGGTCACACATATGTTAGAGGCCAGAGCTGGCAAAAAAAAGTGGCTCAGCACAAGTTGCTGCCAAGTGTGACACTTGACAACTGGAGTCTGATCCCCAGGACTCCCAAGGTGTAAGGAGAGAAAGGACTCCCAAAAGTTGTCCTCTGACCGCCAAACCCTGCAGGACAGACACGCATGCACACAGGCAGGCACACGCACACCTAATTTTTAAAATATAAAATTTTAAAAAGTTTGAGGCTGGTTGGCGTCGGCGCACGCCTTTAATCCCAGAACTCTCAAGGCAAAGGCAGCAGGATCTCTGTGAGTTCGAGGCCAGGTCTACAGAGCGAGTGCCAGGATAGGCTCCAAAGCTACAGAGAAACTGTCTCGGAAAAAAACCAAAACCAAAAAAAGCCACTTAACTACATGAGTTTCCATTCTCAATAAAACAAAAACACAAACCTCTACAAAAACAAAAGACATTTGACAACTTGAAAGCTGAGATAGGGAGAAATAGCCAGGGAAGAGGCTCACTCACCTATGACTCTGAGCCAAGTCACCCCCCTGCGGGTACCATTGGGAAAGGTGGCAAACTCGCAGGTATAATTGCCCTCGTCCTCCACCCTCAGTCCCCGGAAGGCCAGCGTGGCGTCCCGCAGGTCCGCATTTGTCTCCTGATTGGCTCTGACAAAGGACAGGCGCTCCTTGTTGAACTGAGTATTGGGGAAGTCCACGCCGAAGGAAGGGTGGAAGGCGGCCACCACTGTGGCATCCAGGCGCTGCCAGGTCACCTGAGAGACGCGCTCCGTCGTGGGCGGGAGCAGGTGACACGGTAACTCCACGGAGCCTCCCAGGCGGCCTCGAACCTCGGGGAGCACTCGTACCCGCACATCTTGGGCTCCTAGGGAGAGAGGAAAGAGTCAGCCATCGGGGTAGGGGACAAGCCGGCAGTCTCCAGAACTGGCAGTGCCAAGGCAGAGATGAGATTCCTATTTCTTTCTTTTTTTAAAAAATATTTATTATGTATACAGTCTTCTGACTGCAGGCCAGAAGAGGACACCAGATCTCACTGTAGATGGTTGTGAGCCACCATGTGGTTGCTGGGAACTGAACTCAGGACCTCTGGAAGAGCAGCCGGGGCTCTTAACCTCTGAGCCATCTCTCCAGCCCGAGATTCCTATTTCGTTCATGCATTCATTCATGACAGGGCCTCATTATGTCATAGTCCAGGCTCAATATGTGGCCACACACTGCCTTGAACTCACAGGGCCCTGCCTGCCTCTGCCTCCCAGGGCTTAAGATTAAAACTGTGCGCCACCACACCTGACACCCTCCTTGTCTTTTAAATTTTATTTTTGTTTTTTAAAATTTATTTGTTTTTATTTCATGTGCATTGGTGTTTTGCCATGGGTGCCAGGTCCCCTGGAACTGGAGTTACAGACGTGAGCCACCATGTGGTTGCTGGGAATTGAACTCAGGACCTTTGGAAGAGCAGTCAGTGCTCTTAACCTCTGAGCCATCTCTCCAGCCCCTAAATTTTTTTTTTTTTTTTTTAGTTTATGTGATGGGTGTTTTGCCTGTATGCATGTCTGTGCACCACGTGCTTGCAATGCCAGTGGAGGCCAGGAGGGGGAGACAGAGTCCATGGAACTGGAGTTACAGGTGGTTTGAACCTCTGTGTGGTTGCTGGGAACTCAACCCGTATCCTCTGGATGAGCAGGCGGTGCTCCTAACAATTGAGCTGTGTCTTCAGCTCCCCACCTCATTTGAGACAGGGTCTCTGATTGGCCTGGAGCTCACTGGTTCAGCTAGGCTGCCCAACAAATCCCAGGGATCCCCCTGTCTCAGCCTCCCCGGTGCTGGGATTCCAATGTTCAATGCTGCATCTAGCTTTTGACACGGGTGCCAAGGATCAAATCCCGGTCCTCATATTAACATAGAAAGTATTTTGTCGGGGGGGGGAGACTTGGCTCAGTGGTTAAGAGCACTGACTGCTTCTTCCAGAAGACCCAGGTTCAATTCCCAGCCACCGCATGGTGGCTCACAACCATCCGTTATGAGATCTGGTGCCCTTTTCTGGCGTGCAGGCATACATGCAGACGGAACACTGTATACATAATAAATAAATAAACCTTTAAAAAAAAAAAGAAAGTATTTTGTCCATCGATTTGTCTCCCTGGCTCTGTTCTCTGCCTACTTTTACATTGCTGGAGTTGGCGTAGGGCTTCACACATGCTAGGGGTGAATGTTTCAGCCCTGGAGCTACAGTCCTTTCTCCGGGATGGTTTCACATTGTATACAAGGTGGTTTGGTTACACACACACACACACACACACACACACACACACCCTGTTACTTCTCATCCCCTGTGGCTTCCCTGAACTCCTTTCTAGCCAACGAGTCTTCCTGACTTTCATGTGTTTTGTTGGGTCATCCACCGGGTCTAATTTCAGGTGCTGTGAATGAGCAGGGCAGTGGGT